TTTAAAATGGCCTCTTCAAATACTCCAGGATTTAAATATTTAAAATTTTTTAAACCAGATTTCCATACTGAAATTGCTAATTTACTTAAAGAAAGACCAACTCTAAAAGATGTTATCACTCTCGTGCTTCAAAATCCAGACCGTGAAAAAGAAATTTTAACTGAAGCGAAAGTAAAGGCTATTAGATTTGATGCTAGTGAAATGTTTGATTTTGAGAATGAATATGATATTCAAGAAGGATGGATTATTACAGACGAAGGTTCTGAATGGTTTAATGTAAAAGAGTTAATATTTTTTATAGGAAGAAATTTTAAACATTATCGCTCAATGTAAATTTACCTAATAATTTTTTTTAAATATATATTCAGAAAATATTTTAGTTTCTTCTTGCTTGTATAAATTATTTTATCTAAATAAATAAAATAAAATAAAAAAAAATATTAGTACAAGATCCCTATTCACAAATGTTTGCAGCCCGTCCGTCTCAGAGATATAACTCTAATCTACGAGTCGGTTTCTCAAAAAACAATAGAACATATCCTCAGTATATATGTATACTTTCAGAATATATCCCTGTTTTTCTATTGCAGCGTCCCTTCAGAATCACAAATACAAGTAAAATGAACTTTGCCAACTTACAAAATTAATAAATATATCGTTCCGGATAAGTTTTTATTAAATAACACCAGAAATAAATATTAAATATAATAAATATTAAATATATTATCATTCCGAAGAAAAAAAATTCTTTCGAATAAATAATTTCCAAAATATATGTAAAAATGTCAAATTTCTCTATATTGTTTACTAAAAGTAAACCGAAGAGAACAATAATAGCAATGATTAAGTGAAAGAAATGCATTTTTGTTTGATAATTGTAGAGAATTTTTGTGAATAAAATAAGTTTGGATAACAATTTTATGAATATACAAAGGTTTTAAACAAATAAATCGTGAGGAGAGAGAAGGTTTTTTGCTCGTTTTTTTATTGATAAAAAAAAATTGCTAGAAAGTTCTACGTTGAATTACGTATGTAATATAAATTAGTATTTTAAAATCCTTGAATACGATTCGCCAGTAATGGTTTCAAAGTATTCAATGTATTCCAACTTTTACCGAAAAACTATTCACAAAGTATTCCAAATCAACAACGATGATTGGCCAGAAACCAAAGTATTCAAACTCCTGCAAAAGATATTCGAACTTCTGCAAAAAGTATTCCAAATCAACAACGATGATTGGCCAGAAACCAAAGTATTCAAACTCCTGCAAAAGATATTCGAA